TCTTTAACTTACAAAACCACAGTTTTGTGATATTAAAATTTTTGAAAACCGCATCATCCAAACAGGCCCTTATGGCGTCCCAATGGTTCTTAAATAGCTAGTCTAGGAAGAATTTCATTGGCTATTATGAGAGAGATCAAATAGCTAACGATTCCTAAATAGCTAGTTTAGCACGATCTCTCAGAAAACACCTCTCTCACGGCTCACGTCACTCTCCACTGCAGTGTTTATTTTTTATTATTTCCATGTCTCATTTAGCTAGCTATTTGCAAATTACCATTGCGGACTCCCTTACCTGCAAATAGCTACTCCCTCTGTCCCAAAATTATCTGTTGCTTTTAGTTTCCGTGCCGCAAGTTTGACTCAATTTGTAAAAAATACATGCAGCATTTGTATCTCCAAATAAATTTATTAAAAAACTAGATTCAAAGATCTTTGCAATAAAACTAATATTGTACCATAAATATTAATATTTTTAATATATATTTTGTCAAAGTTGTTTCTCGGGAAGCAAAAACGACAGATATTTTGGGACTGAGGGAGTATCTCATTAGCAGTCAAATATATGTAATAGCAACTAATAAATTGTCAAAAACATTTTGTCCTGTTTATTTTTATTTCTCCTCTCACACACCTCTCTACACAAAATAAAGTCAAGAACATTACTTTAAACAAATTTAAGGCACTCTTTGAAAGGCTTCACTTAGAGGTTGGAGTTGCACAAGTCATTTTTCTGTAAAAAAAGATGGTTATAAATAGAAAATCACAGCATGACCGATACAATGATAGAACGATATGAGTAGCATGCTTTAAATTAGTGACTCACCGGGACCAATGGTGATTCCATGGCATGTTTGAAAAGGTTTGAGGCGTCGATGACAACGAAGCTGGTCAGTGGTTGCTTGAGGTAGGAGTGGCGCCAACGGAGTGAACGGACATACGATAGTACTGTGATAAATGTGATGGTGAAAAAAGGACAACTATTTATTTACAAGAGAATGTAAAACATGCACCTTGATTTGGCCCCAGTAGAAAATATCACATACATTCGATTGAAATGAAAAAAAAAAATGAAGAAGAGGGTGATGATATAAAATTAGTTGATAATAGCTATATAATTTACATGCAGTTGGACGCAACAATAATGAACAGGGAAAAGAAAATAGTATAACCAAATAAAAGACAAACTATTTAAAAACTCTCTCAAGTAAAAAAAGAAAGAAATTAGTTAGACACCGTGCTTTTATGAGGCTCATTTTTTAGTGTTTACAACAAAAAAAAGACTACAGTTAAAATGGCCCTAGCAAAACCGTAATTTGAAAGTGTCTGGCTAAAGATCTATCATTGTGTCAGTTGTCATAGCTATAGCCCACTAACCCAAGGTCTAGGTATTTACAATAGACTACTTAATATAAATATATTGTGGTTGTTCTTATACTACTATCTCCGTTAAAAAAATATAAATCTCATTTCACGAGGAGTGAAAGAATCTTAAGTTTGACTACGTTTATATAAGGTATTATTTGCATTATAA